AGTAGTAACAAGAAGCTACTAGAAACAAGAAGCTACTAGGAACAAGTTCATCGCTACTAGTAACAAGTGCCTTACTAGTAGTAACAAGAAGCTATTAGAAACAAGAAGCTACTAAACGCTAGGTTTGGGACGGAGAAAGGAACACCCTCAAATCTGGTCATCAGAACATTAGGATTGATGGGACCCCATATTGATGGTACCAGTGCCCTCAACGATCTCCACTTTGAATGTGAACTTGGGGCCACAAGTTGTTTTGTTCAACAAGAAGTTTTGGTCAACAAGGGTAACATGGCCTTTATCCAGAAACTCAATGACGCATAGAAGTACAAGGACAACATGCAAAGGCAATTGATGGGTGATGTTGTGGAGATTTGTTCCTCTCGATTCTCCAAGAATTTGCAGTTTGTTGCAAGGCATCCATTTGCAGGGATGTACCATGAAACCGGTTACAGTGCAAGTGTTGGCTTCACTGATATTCGTTGGCGCAAAGGGATGGCTTCACACGGTTTCGTTGCGTTCTGTTTGAAACTCTTGTGTTCTACACCAACTCGCACAAAAGTGCAAGATGCAAACCTTGTTCTTTGCAGTCTTTGCAGAGGCAAGAGGTCGAACATCAAAAACTGGTCAGCGGGCAAGCCGCTTAAGCTCATCCGGCTGAACATGTATCCCTCCTCGGAAGCTATCCATTGAAGAGAAGAAACGTGGTTGAGTGGCACATGTGCAGCCAAGTTTGCACCTAGGAATGACCTGCCTTTGAACTACCAGTTTGGCTTGGGAGCCCGGCTTGTAAGGGGAACCCGTCACCTCTTTGACGCACATGCAAGAAGAAACTTTGGCACTCTTGGCCTTGACCATCCAGAACCTCATGTATGTGAACCACACTAGGGACCTTAAAGTCCAACACAGCTGGTGAAAGGTGGAAAGAGATCAGCGGAATCCAGTGAACATGGGAAAGAGATCAGGTTATATGTACTACTTGGGAATTGGCCTGGAGCTTGGAACGACCGGCAGACATCACAAGTTCATTTCTTGATTCCACGTCCTTGTCCTCACTTTAGTCGAAGCCGTTGGGCATGCTGTTCTATCGGATTGCAAACTTTTCTCAGTCTATCTTTGGCATCGCTTTCACGTGCTGAATGGCTTCGGAAGCAACACAAGCACGCACTGACACCCAAAGACAGTTTGGATGCCACAGCACCTCAGCAGGTACAACTCTTTTGTATGAAAGCAGCCATGGCACATGAGATCAGAAAGATGCTTCTGCACATATTCTGAACATTTCGTTCTTCTGTCAAAACAACAACAAACGCATCCTATTTCATTGTGGGAGCTCGAGGATTTACTTGTGCCTTCCCTACCAAAACATGAACACCTACATTATCCTGAAGCTGCAAGGAGATGCCCCCGCCCACGACCTTAAGGTCAAGGGAATAGAACACCATTTGTTGGAGGGGTGCTCATTGGGTCTCACTTCTATTTCCTGTATGTTTACAGTGTGGAGACAGACTCTACAATAGCCTTTTGAGGCACTGAACCCATCACGGTGCGCTTGAACACTGCACCACAGCGAGTGCAGCAGATTGAGGCCATTCGATGATAGTTCTGTCCAGCAAAGAGCGTTACTTTCAGCTTGTTTTCAGCATTGCAAAAGCTTCTGGATACATCTTGAATCAGGGATTGATATGCAGTTGCAACACTTTGGACACTATTGAAGCTCTTGTCCCTTGTGCACAAATGTAAACACAAATTGTGAACACCTGGGTTGAAATTTGGGGATCGAACAGAACAGGGCCAACAACTCTCCCAGTCATTTTGGCAGCTCGATCCGGGTTGTTCCTGTTCTTCCCGTTCCGGGTCTCCGGTACGGCGGTGCAATTCTCCAGGTGGACGAGTTGCCGATTGGCGAATCTTCCACGGGCTTCTCGCTGCTGGGGGGCTTGAGACGACTTGAGGATGGACTTTCACATGACATCGTTTTTTGAGGGTGAAGAGATGTGAAGAGATGTGAAGAGAAATCTTCAGTTTTCGCTTTCCTCTTCAATTGTTGGCTTGTGATTTCACAGATTCCTCAAAGCGACTTGGGGAACTCTTTGTTCTTGAACTTGTGATTCTTGGACTTGTTGTCAAAAGTTTTGGGGTAGGCGAACGGAAGTTGATTTGTTTGAAAACGAGTGAAGTGATGAGAGACTTTGATCGAAAAGATGTCTGCCCCGTTGCGTCTGGAAGACCTAGGTCTCGATTCGGATTCGATTGACCCCGATCTCTCAAAAGGCAGCGTCGTTCCGATCGCTGTCCTTGCTCCTAGTAGCGATGCCCTTGCTCCGAGTAGCGTCCTGCGACGACTGAGGGAAGTCTTTGTGGATGTGATCACACCTTTCGGTGCCACGACGACGAAGACCATCCAGGTCACCGTCTTAGCACCGACCAGTCGACCAGTCATCGGTGCGGGGCCGTCTCGGAATCAGTTGGTCCCGGGCCCGACGAAATGCCCGTAAGCTGTAGACATTGTAGACCCTCAAGAACCACAAATTTGCATCCCAATCAGAGACATTCGGTTTTCTTCTCAGACACTTCCAAAACTCGAACGAAACATCATTCCAAGATATCAGAAATATGGGGGAACTTGGAAAGACTAGGCTTCTGGAGTGAAAGTAGGTATATAGACCACTCCCATGTGCTCGGCAAGTAGCTCAAAAATTGAACAATACCAAATCGAAAGTAACCAAACAGCTCCGTTTCACAATGACTTGCTCTCGTCATTCCATCATTCGCTGAACTTCCCTTCAAGCAAAAGTGTGCAAGCCTCCTGTCACAAACGTCATAGATCCGTTTGCAGGGAAGCGAGTGCAATCTTTGTCTCGCAGAGTGCTGCCTTTACGATATGATACGATAAGCCACTTTCTTTCTGTCTTCGTACCAGTCTGAATTAATGTTCTCATCTTTCTTCACCCCCTTTCCGATGCTGCGCAGTGAGCGGTGTGTGTTCTGGTGCGCAAGTCGTGGGTCCAATGTATCGGGTTAGTTGGGGATGTGCACGGACGGGTACCAAAACTCGTCCTTTGGACAGTTCATGCAAAACAGCAGGCCGGAATGAAATTTATGCCACATATTTTTGGTCTCCCCAAAAGTAGAAGCATTTGTCCAGCAGACCTATGAGTGAGGTTCGGTTGTGTACCTGTCTTCATTTGTCCTCCCGTGAGCTCTTGATCAGTGACATCACTGACCGAGCCCTTTGGCGGCCTTGCTGCTTCCACAGAGGTCTTTAGTCTTCCACCGAAGAACAAGACGCTGATCGTCAATCGAAAGCTGGACGTCTTGGGCCTCAGCGGTCGGAAAGCGGAAAAGAGCAGCCAAGACCGGAACCATCTTTTCAAAGGCGGGGTACCGTAGTAGGCTTATGTAGCTAGGAGTCAGGGGTAAGCAATAACTTGCTACTAACTACTGGATGCAGGAAAGCCCTCGAACTATTCTTGTGGTTTCTAGATCATTAGGGACACTTAATAGCGACGGCCTCCAACCTAGTAGCGATGGCCGCCAACCTAGTAGTGACCGCCTCAAACCTAGTAGCCACCTAGTAGCGATGGCCTCAAACCTAGTAGCCACCTAGTAGCCATGGC